TAAGTTAAGGATCTTGAGATGGGGAGAGGATCCTGAATGATCTGGTGTAACCAGGTAATCCCCAGGGTCCCTATAAGGGGGGGCAGGAGGGAGTCGGGAGGATGGAAGCAGAGATTGAAGTCTTGCCATTGCTGGAAGGGAGGGGCGCACGAGCCACGGAGCCCAGGCGGCCTCTGGGAAAGGCCAGGGTGGAGCTCAGCTCTACCAACACCTTCATGCTGGCCCCATAAGACTCGTTTTTAGACTTCTGACCTCCAGAACTATAAAATAATTTGTGTTTTTCTAAGCCACCATTTAATTAAGTTAAATTTAAATTTAAAATATTTTAAACTGCCATTAAATTAAATTTAAATTTAAAAAGATAATTCATTTAAAAATAATGAACCATTATATGTTGGCATAGATTACTTTTTTCGGAAAAATAAAATTTTCTAACTAGTAGTGAGAAGACTACCACTGCTTTACATTTTGTAAATCTCTTTAATTCTGCCTTAATGGGAGACAGCTGGATGCTCACATCAGCTTCTGCCTTCCGTCTGTTGTGGCATCAGATGTCACGTAGCCTCTAAAAACTCCCCTATATGCTCACGAGAGAGTGAGCGTTAAAGAGGTAAATTGTATCTTAGTGTTATTATTAAAATGGTTCTGGACCCATGGATTACCTAAAAGGGGTGCGAGGTCTCCCAGGGGTCCCCCAGACCCACTTTGGGAACTTCCAGGCTAGAACGTCGCCCCATGGCTGCACCTAGCTGCAGAAGACGCTGGGAGCTATGGTTCTTACGCTGGGCACCAGTTACAAAAGTGGGGGTTCTGTTATTAAGAAAGAAAGGGAGAATGGACATTAAGGGATATTTAGGAGTCTCAAATTCTTATTATATCGGAGTTCGATGCACATAGTAGGTAGATAATCACCAAAATGTTGGTTTCTGTTCTTGCCGGGAAAGATGGGCATTTTGCTTCAACTGCATCCTTTAGAAATATCTATGACAGGGCACAATGGTCCGTAGGCAGAGGCATAATTGCAGTGAATTGCATTTTTAGCATTTGTAGATAAATTATATAAGACATCTTTTGTTTGGTGCTCACAGGCAGCTTTTTGATATCTTGTTTGGGTCTTTTGAACTTAACAATATGCTTCCTTTCCTTGGGTAGGAGGAAATGTGGAATTGAAATGAGATTCAGACTAGCTTTGATTCATAGTTATTCTTCGTGGGTTTGAAAATACAGGGGGTGTGACATTTCCTCTGGGTCATTCTGTAAACAGTTCCTACTGATCCCTGGCAGTGTTCCGTGGCCGAGGAATAACCCAGTTCCAGTTTCTGATGTGAAAGAGCAGTTAGGAATATGTGTGCTCCAAAGCTTATATTTTTAAAAGATGTGTACAAATACAGTTAAAATGGTTGGGGCTTAAGTGGCTTAATTTTGAGCTTAATATGTTGCTCAGTATCGATCTCACTAATTGATGACTGTGTTTAATGCATTCTTAGCACTGTCCTCATCTTTAAGTCAATTATTGTAACACATTTTGGGCTAGTGAGAGCCTGGGAGATACTTTTACATCTCAGTGTGTGGTCTTGAACCATTATCCCAAACCCCTGGGGTGGGAGCGACTTCGTGTCTTTCACGCTTTGGATTGTCCATTTGCCAGATGAACTGGCCGGGAAGGGGAGTTTGGGCGTGGGATGGAGGGCAGTACAGAAGCGGCATAGACGGTAATTTTAGAGCCTAGAGCACATGTCGGGGGAAGGTGCCCTTGTCGGGGAGCCCCACCGGGGTGGGTGCTTTGGGGGCCAGAGGCCCACACCGGTGTCTGGTGAGCTTTCTGAGCTGGAGCTGAGAAGAGCAATTTTCCTTGCTTCGCTGTTTTTCTCAGTGGAATCCGTAGTGAAAACAGAGAGACTGAAAGCACTTTGGTGTAACTTGAACTTGTGGGACCGGAGGCCTGCCGGTCCTTAGCAACTTGCATCGGACAGCTCAGGGTCTTCAGCACCCAGCATCGTCATGATAGCATTGGTTACCTGTGTATGGGCACGACAGAGAAATTGTAAGTGAAACCAGTGGAAGGGTGACCTGTTAGTTTTTGGATATATTTTGGGTCATGATTACCTGGTGGTTTTCCACGTCACACCAGCTATCCCTGAGATTCTCTGGGTCTTCCAGAAGGGGAGAGTGTGTCTGGCTGCCGTGCCCTCCCCTCTTCTCTTCAGGGGGGCTTACGGTCATGACCACTGGTCCCTGGTCTGCCGACGGGCGGCAAAAATCACAGTGCTAGCTAAGAGAAGGCTGTGGTTACAAGCCGTGTAGTGATTTATTGCAACAGCTAGTGGTTTTGAAAGTATGGGCTGGAATAATTTTCTGATACTTTCAAATAATTGCAATACAATTAGGATTGCAAAAGAAAGAGTGTTTTGATGTGGGAGTGCCTACATTAATTAGTAAATGTGAACGCATTCTATGTGTAGGAGGCCCGACTAGTTCAGGGCCAAGAGCAGGGTCTTATGTGTCTCCACAGCTCCTCAGCATTTCTTTTCTTTTCTTTTTTTTAAATAATTTTTTATTGTTATGTTAATCACCATACATTACATCATTAGTTTTTGATGTAGTGTTCCATGATTCATTGTTTGTACATAACACCCAGTGCTCCACGCAGAACATGCCCTCTTTAATACCCATCACCAGGCTAACCCATCCCCCACCCTCCTCCCCTCTAGAACCCTCAGTTTGTTTTTCAGAGTCCATCATCTCTCCTGGTTCGTCTCCCCCTCCGACTTACTCCCCTTCATTCTTCCACTCCTGTTATCTTCTTCTTTTTTTTTTCTTAACATATATTGCATTATTTGTTTCAGAAGTACAGATCTGTGATTCATCAGTCTTGTACAATTCACAGCGCTCACCATAGCACATACTCTCCCCAATGTCTATCACCCAGCCACCCCATCCCTCCCACCCCCCACCACTCCAGCAACCCTCAGTTTGTTTCCTGAGATTAAGAATTCCTCATATCAGTGAGGTCATATGATACACGTCTTTCTCTGATTGACTTATTTCACTCAGCATAACACCCTCTAGTTCCGTCCACGTCGTTGCAAATGCCAAGATCTCATTCCTTTTGATGGCTGCATAATATTCCATTGTGTATATACACCCCATCTTCTTTATCCATTCATCTGTCGATGGACATCTTGGCTCTTTCCACAGTTTGGCTATTGTGGACATTGCTGCTATAAACATTGGGGTGCACGTACCCCTTCGGATCCCTACATTTGTATCTTTGGGGTAAATACCCAGTAGCGCAATTGCTGCATTGTATGGTAGCTCTATTTTCAACTGTTTGAGGAACCTCCATACTGTTTTCCAGAGTGGTTGCACCAGCTTGCCTTCCCACCAACAGTGTAGGAGGGTTCCCCTTTCTCCACATCCCCGCCAACGTCTGTCGTTCCCTGACTTGTTAATTTTAGCCATTCTGACGGGTGTGAGGTGGTATCTCATGGAGGTTTTGATTTGGATTTCCCTGATGCCGAGTGATGTTGAGCACTTTTTCATGTGTCTGTTGGCCATTTGGATGTCTTCTTTGGAAAAATGTCTGTTCATGTCTTCTGCCCATTTCTTGATTGTATTAGTTATTCTTTGGGTGTTGAGTTTGATAAGTTCTTTATAGATTTTGGATACTAGCCCTTTATCTGATATGTCATTTGCAACTATTTTCTCCCATTCTGTCAGTTGTCTTTTGGTTTTGTGGACTGTTTCTTTTGCTGTGCAAAAGCTTTTTGTCTTGATGAAATCCCAATAGTTCATTTTTGCCCTTGCTTCCCTTGCCTTTGGCGATGTTTCTAAGAAGAAGTTGCTGCGGCTGAGGTCGAAGAGGTTGCTGCCTGTGTTCTCCTTTAGGATTTTGATGGACTCCTGTCTCACATTGAGGTCTTTCAACCATTTGGAGTCTATTTTTGTGTGTGGTGTGAGGAAATGGTCCAGTTTCATTCTTCTGTATGTGGCTGTCCAATTTTCCCAACACCATTTGTTGAAGAGACTGTCTTTTTGCCATTGGACATTCTTTCCTGCTTTGTCAAAGTGAGTTGACCATAGAGTTGAGGGTCCATTTCTGGGCTCTCGATTCTGTTCCATTGATCGATGTGTCTGTTTTTGTGCCAGTACCATACTGTCTTGATGATGACAGCTTTGTAATAGAGCTGGAAGTCCGGAATTGTGATGCCGCCGGCTTTGCTTTTCTTTTTCAACATTCCTCTGGCTATTCGGGGTCTCTTCTGGTTCCATACAAATTTTAGGATTATTTGTTCCATTTCTTTGAAAAAGGTGGATGGTATTTTGATGGGGATTGCATTGAATGTGTAGATTGTTTCAGGAGAATAGGTATTAATTCTTCTTGAAATGTCTGATAGAATTCCCCTGGGAAGCCATCTGGCTCTGGGCTTTTGTTTGTTGGGAGATTTTTGATGACTGCTTCAATTTCCTTAGTGGTTATAGGTCTGTTCAGGTTTTCTATTTCTTCCTGGTTCAATTTTGGTAGTTGATACATCTCTAGGAATGCACCCATTTCTTCCAGGTTATCTGATTTGCTGGCATAGAGTTGCTCATAATATGTTCTTATAATTGTTTGTATTTCTTTGGTGTTGGTTGTGATCTCTCCTCTTTCATTCATGATTTTGTTGATTTGGGTCATTTCTCTTTTCTTTTTGATCAGTCTGGCCAGGGGTTTATCAATCTTGTTAATTCTTTCAAAGAACCAGCTCCTAGTTTCGTGGATCTGTTCTACTGTTCTTTGCTCCTCAGCATTTCTAACAGCTTCATTCACGACTGCCCCAAGCTGGGAAACACTAAATCCTTCTTCAGCTAGTGGTGGGTGCGTGAGCTGGGATGTCTGTCAACGGAATGCTAACTCAGCAGTGACAGGGATGCACAGTTATTGGAATGAGTCTCATGTGCTTTATACGTTTTGGGAAAGAAGCCAAACTCAAAAAGGTACATGCTGTGTGCCTCTCCAGGGTCCATGCTGTGTGATCCCATGTCTCGTGACGTTCTGGACAAGGCTGGAGGACAAGGGCAGAGGACGGAACAGTGGTCGTGAGCGGGCAGGGAGGATGGACTTACAAAGGGCAAGAGGAGCTCTTTGGAATAAATGAAATGTTCTGTATCTTGACGGTGGAGCTGATTACATGACTCTGTGGTTTGGACAAAAGTCAGAGAGCTCTGCCCTGAAAAAGGTGGGTTCCTACATAAATTACACCTGAAGAGATCTAACTTTAAGACGAAAACAGCACCAGCAACAAAAATAAACAAGTAATGACGAGCTTTGGTTTAACACCCACGAGGATGGCCGTGTCTGCTGCTTGTCTATGATTGGATGGCATGCGCTGGGTCCTCCGTTGTACAGGGCGGCTCATCGGGACGCTGCAGTGTAGCCTCTTGGGGAGTCTGGACTCCACCATTCCCACAGAGGTGGGTGCTCTAGTATTTGTTAGACCTGGAGGTTAAAACAAGAGCTTCTCTGCTGGAGCGTTAGCGGAGACAGCTGGAGGCACGCGTCACCATGTGAACATTTAATCAGGTGTCACTCTGTCTCCTCTCCGGGCTCCTTCGATGCTAAAAGTGTCATTAATAGGGGGCCTGGGTGGCTCAATCAGTTAAGTGTCTGCCTTCAGCTCAGGTCATGCTCTCAGCGTCCTGGGATTGAGCCCTGATTCGGGCTCCCCACTCAGCGGGAAGTCTGCTTGCTCCCCCTACTTGTGTGCTCGCGCGCACTCTCTCTCTCTCTCTCTCTCTCTCTCTCTCTCGCAAATAAATAATAAAATCTTTTTTTTTTTAAGATTTTATTTACTTATTTGACAGAGACACAGCAAGAGAGGGAACACAAGCAGGGGGAGTGGGAGAGGGAGAAGCAGGCTTCCCACAGAGCAGGGAGCCCGATGCGGGGCTCGATCCCAGGACCCTGGGATCATGACCTGAGCCGAACGCAGACGCTTAACGACTGAGCCACCCTGGCGCCCCTAGATAAAATCTTTAAAAAAAAAAAAGTGTCATTAATGGAGCAGACGAGGTTTTGCATTGTTTTCGATCTCAGCTGTAGTAACTGTGCTGTGATCTCCCCACCCCCCACGGATTACAAAATGTCCCGTTAGGTTCAGTGTGGTGGGAGGAGGGAGGGCTGATCTCGGCGCGACTGCCCGTAGTCTAATTTAAATATAACTTCCAAGTGTTGGCAGCCAGAACTGGAAGATTCAGACTGGAAATTAGATCTGGAGCTGTGAAGCAGTGTCTCTCAATAATCAACGGCCTTTGTAAATCAAAGTCAAAAGTTGATTCTGAAAGGGGATTTACACAGTGAACGCTTGGCTGTGACTTTGGGGAGTGACATGTCCAGGGCCTGCTGGCGAAGCAGACAGGTGGGTAATGCCTATCGGATGACAACAGGTTTTTCCCAGCAGAAGACTCCTCGTTAATTTGAAACCGGTGCTTCCTAGATTGGTTTGGCATTAGTGCAATCCAGTAATGATTTCTGTCAGGCAAGCCCTTACTAATCATCCTCCTGTTAGGAGGGAGCAGTTGGTTGGCACAGGCCCTGGTCCCAGGAAGCTCCCCATCCCCCAGGCTCCGCCAGGCCCCGCACAGCCCCGTAAATCCCGCCATGGCGGAGAGCCCGGGGGAGGAGGCCCAGACCCCGAGGGATGACGCTTGAGGTGGGCCTTGATGTGTAGGTAGGATTTGGTCTGGTGCAGGAAAGAGAAACCCGGCACCGTTCAGGCAGAAGGAGCTGAATGCTGTGGGGAAGCCTTTTATTATTTTTTTTATTAATTTTTTTTTCCAACTTCATTGAGAAACATGAAAGCTCTTGTGGTCAGGGAGTCATGACCTGAACACTGGGCAAAGAATTTCTTCCTTCCCTCCGTGCCTACATAGGAGTTAAAGTAAAAGCATTGCATTTACAGTAAATATTCAGAGCGTCCAAAAAGATATAAAATTATAAGTCATTTACCCCCCCTTTCCCTCCGCATCTCTTTCTCTTGCTCTCGTCCTTAACTACTGTAACGTTCCTGTTGTTAAGCACACGTGTATTATCTTATGCTTCTGTGGATCAGAAGCCCAATGTGGGTCTCACTGGGTTAAAATCAACATGTCAGAGGCTTCGGGCCTTGCCCGCCTTCTGCCATTTTTCTTTGGTTTGTGGCCTCTTCCTCCATTGTGTCTATGACCACTCCTCTGTCATCAAACCCTGGACAGGGGTTCTGATTTTAAGGACCCATATGATTAGATAGGGCCCACTGGAGAATCCTGGATACGCATGGCACCTCAGGATCCTCAATTGATCCCATCTGCAAAGCCCCTTTTGCCTTGTGAGCTAATATATTTATAGTTCCGGGGGGGGGTTAGGATGTGAACATGGGGGCATTACTTTGCCCCCATCTCCTCCTACCCTTCTTTTTTTTTTCCCTCCCCGCTGGTAAACTATTTGGACACCAAAGTTAGTATACAAAATTTATTTTTATCCATTTGATCAGTATGTCCAGTTGTGTACCTTAAACTTCATTCCTTTTATTAGCACCTGCCTTTAAAGCTCGACAAGAGTATTCTAGTTAGCTGCTATTACTTTTTTTTTTTAAAGGTCACAGCCAGTGCTGGAGTGACTGTCATCGGGCATATATCCTGACATATTTTTCCACACATGTCCATACGGAAGGTATACTGAATTGCTGGAATAAAAGTGTCCGTGGGTTGTTAATGTGGAAAGAAGACTATGAGGGATTAATCAAAGGGCAGAGGAATGTTGATGCAGAGAGGAAGTTCTTCAAGTGCATTAGGGAAGGAAGCAAGCATTCACTTACGGTTTATTTTGTGCCGTTCACGTGCTAGTGGACTGACTTCCCCTTTCTCACTTGCTGTCTCACTGTGACACGGGCGAGCTGTTGTTGACCCGTTTGTTGAGGAGGGAAGTGAGCCATCAAGGCTCAGTCTGCAGACCGCAACCCACTGCCAACGCTGGGGACACTGTCCGTGTCAAGGACGCTGGGGTCCCCTTCTGTCCCCTACATCTCGGTCCTCAAGTGTGAGCAGCAGAATGGTGGGTCTTTTAATTCTCCTAGATTGTTACGCTCTTTAAATGTTTGAGGGGCTCTTACGGACATGCTTATGTGATTTTTACTTAAAAAAAAAACTCACCGGATGATCATGCAACTCTGTTTTTCTTTTTTTCTTAAACTTTATTTATTTAAGTCATCTCTACACCCAGCATGGAGCTCCAGCTCATGACATGGAGATCAAGAGCCGCATGCTCCACTGACTGAGCCAGCCAGGCGCCCCATGGTTACGGTTTTAGGTAGAGCATTGCACGCGGCACCCTGTGTGGTCTGAAGTCCGACGTGGCCAGGGGCCCTTGGCTGAGTGGCTGGGCTGGGGGCTTACGCCGGCATGGGGGTGGGGGGCCATTCCTGATGGGGTCTGTTGTGGGGCTTCGGCTGGCCCCGTCCAGTCTCCGGCTGAGCCGCGGTCTGGGGCCCCTGGTCAGGACAGAAGTTCTCCTGGGAGGTGCCACTTGGGCACTTAGTGTATTGGGGTTGAAGCCCCTGAGGATGGCAGAAGGCCATTTAGGCCTGTTCCTCCAAGAAAGCCCTAAGCACACCTCACTGCCGGCGTGGTGTGGCCTGGCAGGCCGTGCGGCGGCTGGTGGCCATGAGCCGGCTAATTTGGGGAAGAGTGAGAGGCGGTTGGACGCCACAGTAAACTGATTTGGGTACAGGTGACCCCCCCGGCTCAGGCCTTCCTCCCCTCTCTTGTACAGAAGGGGTCGTGCGAGCACAGTTGTGTTGATTGCCACTCCCAAGGGAGCGGTGTTCTGGACAGGAGTGTCAGGGCCCTGGCTGCTTTCCCCGCAAGCACGGCTGGCCGCGGCCCAGGGCCTTGGTGTCCCCGGGCTTCTGGGCTCAGCAGGGCTGTGTGGGTGTGCAGGCCAGGGGCTGCCTGTGTGGGCTCAGCCCAGGGGCAGCTGCGAGAAAGGAGAGGGGTAGGTCCTTCTGTTTTGCTTTGGCTCCTCTCTAGAAGCTTCCGTAGGGTCTTTGTAATGTTACAGGGTTCCTTAGGCCAGCTAGACGTGGGGCATGTACGCTGAGGGCCTCAGGGACCTCCTGCGAGGGGAGGTCCTGACGGAGGGACAGGGATGGAGCCTTCGGCTGTGTGATCTCGTGCCGGTCACGGCCGCTCTCCGGGCCTGTCGGCGGGGGCCTTGGGCTTGAGCAGCGGAGCCAGCACTTGGTAAAGCCCCTTGCGGTATGGGGACACTGCGCGCCGATCACCGTGCTTTGCCGAGATTTTGGAGTCTGACGGCTGCTTCTGGTTGGTGGGTCGCAGCAGTTAAGAGCTCTGCGAGCCTGAGCCCGTGACGTCCCTGTCTTCCCTGCTGGTCCGAGGGGGGGTCAGGTCATGTGGCTCTTGCAGGGGTGCAGTTGGGGTAAGCGGGCGCACGTGCGAGCAACGCACTTGGCCTGGCTGGCGTCCAGCTGGCGGATGGAGGCCGCCACTCACGTGGGAACCGCGGGCTGTGTGCAAGCGTTTTATGTCCTGCCGGAGTGAGCGCCTCCCCTAAAAGTCTGATAACCGTGTGCCGGCGGGACGTCCTGTCGCCCCAGGGCCTGCTGTTCCTCCAGCTCCTTTTCACTGGCTCCTGGAGGACTGTCTGTCCTGGGCTGTGGGGCTGCAGGAGTGGACACTTCTGCTTGCTGGGCATCCCGTGACAGGCTGACCCTGTCACATGCGGTGAAACTGAGAGCACACCCACTTGGGACCTCGTTATTTCACCACGGCCTGTTACTAGGACCGGAGGGCGCGCGGCGTAGACGACACAGTGGGAAAATGCAACGGTGCGTTCTCCTGGACGGAGAGCACAGGGGAGCTGAGGCGAGGGCGGAGTCTCTTCCCAAGTGGTTTTTGAGGCACTGGAGATGCCAAAGGGAGTTCAGCCAAGGTGGTCCTTGCCATGGAGCTGGTTGGGAGCTTCCAGGGGTGGGGCAGATCTTGAATCGCAGAAACGGGGCATCAGAGGTGTGCACTGTACGGTCTGCAGGGATGCGGGTCAGGAAAGCCACCTGGCAGTGACTGTGAGCTGCAGGGATGACAGGGAGGGGTGCTGGGGAGATGGGGAAGGTCTCCCCAGGCTGAAGGGACACCAGCAAAGGCCCTGGGGCAGAAAGGAGCTAGGCCCGTTAGAGAAGCTGAA